TATGTTACTAACAAACTCCAGAAATTCCTACCACAAGGTGTCTTGAAAAAATATGTCAAGACAACATACTCTTTTTTTTGCGAACAAAGACAACATACTCGTAACGACACCACATTTGAAACTACTACTTGCCCATAAAAATGAAAACGGAATGCTAGAGGCTTTCAGGTATCTGTCAAACCGGCCTGTTTGCTACTCTGAAAAAAAAAAGAAACAGCAAATGTATGATTTAAGAATGTTTAACTGGAGATATAGAACTCCAGACGGTCTCTCACTATGGAAGGATGTCTTCGTTGAAACTAAATGACATAGCATGGTACCAGTCTTATACCACTTAGCTGATCGATTCGCATTGTCTTCGCAGACCAGTGTATATTAAGTTAAAAGGTCACGTGCTGTATGCTAAGTTAAACGATTACAAGTGGTAGGAACAAATCAGTTTTAAACCGCTCATGGTACTGTGGTGTTTTACCAAAACCATACTAAAAAATAAGCTGAATCTTGTATATTGCAGGACATGTCCCACAAAAAATTGAAAACAATGTATACATAATTTGTTCAACTGGAGATAGTAAAAAAAGAATAATTTGTAAAATTGCAGGACTGCTAAACAAGCCTAAGGATAGTAAGAAACTTCAACCACATGATCTTTGTTATATGACAACACAAATACCATAGCGATAACTACGCCACATCTAAAATTTCTACTTCCCCTCAAAGATGAAAATGAACAGAAGGATGGATGATATGAAATGGGAAAGAATGTTTCACGCACCTCCATGGAGGGCTGGAGTACTCATACATCCTGCCACTTCCAGAGAATATTATGACTCCGATTTGCGCATCACAAAGAATGGCTAGCTCGTTTGCCTTCTTGAACAACCCCATCCGCCTCTTGGAGAAGGTAACTTGGCGGTTTGTTGGATTCTCAATCTTCTTCAGCTCTACTTTTCCACGACCCATTGGTAAAGCTTGGTGCTGGTTCTTTCCTATTCAACCTACCAGAACATATGCTGAATCATTACAGTCATGCTTCAGGATACCAAAGTACAATCATGACAATAAGCAAATAAAGATTTCATATGTGCGAGAGGAGATAAAAGTAAATGGTCTCGAATCACCAAGATCATGAGAGATAGTAACAAACAGTTTCAGTCTTTCAGATGCAGGATAGGATAGAAACTTGGAAAGCTATCCATGCAGGCACAAAAGATAGTATAACTGTGCAGTGCAGTGCTTATATTTAATTCCCTAATTTTTGAACTTCAACAAAAGGAACGGTTGGTCCAGAAGAATCAAACTTTCATGAAGATCAATGGATTTAAAAAGCTTGAGAAGATGAAAAGATTTCATAAGCACAAGAAGATGAAAAGATTTCATATGCATGCCCAAGAGATGATAGCAAATGGCTTCAAATCATCAAAGTCATGAGAGATGATAGCAAATGGCTTCAAATCATCAAAGTCATGAGAGATGAAAGCAATACAACGGAAACTTATCTATACAGGTACAAATGCTAGAAGTGTGCAGTGCTTATATTTCAGAAAAATCAAACTTTCATGAAGATCAAATGGATTAAAGCATGAGAAGGTCTATAAATAAAATAAAATCAGACAAACAGCATTTGCGCAAAATATTCTTGTGCTAAGTTGCAGGATAAGAATATGAGAGAGAGAGAGAGAGAGAGAGAGAGAGAGAGAGAGAGAGTTCATGGAGGAGTGGTATCACCTGTATCTGCTTCTTCTGAAGATAGAGGGAACCAAAGGGGGGCTGGTCGCCTTTATACATGGTCTGCAGAGTTCCTTATCTCGAGTTTATTTTTCTGAAAGTCATTGTTCACATCATCACCTGTCCTGCTGTCCCACTAGATATAACAGATAAGGAAAATATCAAACTATAAATGCAGAAATTAAGTAAATGGAGATGTTTATAGTACTTAACTTTCTATTGTCTGTTCATTTATCAATTAGTATGTACGGAGCAGGCATTGAGCCGAGCATGTATGCTACAGATCTCTATCAGGCAAACTATCACATCCAACAACAGTATGTGCTTGTGAATCAACTACTTGCAACGCATGTTGTGCAGCATGTGTGTGTATCAGAGATGGCACCAGATGACTGAAAATGGCAATGCTGAAAGGCACAAAGAACCATGCTGTGGACTGGTAACTGCCCATAGCAGATGATGAGCTTTGCATCTAGGCTGCATCTATAAGATGGCAAGGCTAGAATTGACCAAGACATGGAATAAGTAGGGCCAATAATGCTTTCCAGTTTCCATAGGTAGCTTCGGGTCCACACTACACACCTACTTAATGTCAGGCATAGTCAAATACATGACATCTCACATATATCCTGCTATGATTTTGTTGTTGGCACCAAAGTGAAGTTCTTGGGTTACAGTTTTCGGTTATCATGGCAAATTTCAATATCCTAATTCATAGAGACACATACTACTTCTGAGATGGGAATATGGGATAGGTTTGCTTATATTCACCACATATCATCAGTCGTTTCATAGATACTGCATTCTAAGTTATAAGATGAAAGCATTAATTCATGTAATAATCATAATTAGTTCAGAAACTTTGATTTGCCCAGCCTTACAAGACAGTTCCTAGGGGAGATTTTTTCAGAAAGAAGCTTGTGAACTGGTACAGTCAGAGTTCAGAACTTCAGATCATCATCCATGAGTCATGATCAAAGACCAGCAGAACAAGATGGTAGAAGAGCTTTTTCTTAAACTGGATACCTCCAAAGGAGTTCACGGCACCATCATAGTGACTTATAAGGCAAAGAAATGATTCTCTCCTTCTCATGCGGCAGTTGAGGTACAGGAGGAGAATCACACAACTTTGTTTGCCTGATCTTCATTGTGTTCACACTGGGTATATGGTACATAGTTGTTACATGTTTTGTTACACATATAAATCCTCTCACTTTCCTGATTTTGCAGTAGCTACAACTGAAGTGCCAGCCCCCGCGTCGTCCCAACGGGCGGCTCAGGCGGCTCTCCCAGCCCTCGCACCCGCATCCCCGCAACCCTAGCGGCGCCTGCGCCGCCGCCGGAGCTGCTGACCGGAGGCTCGGCGAGCAGTGAGGAGGGCGGCGGCGCGGCAATCTCGCTCTCCTCCTCACCCATCACTCTCCTTCCTCCCTCCTTTCCCATCCCGGCGGGCTGCGTCGAGCAGCGTGACCGGGCCTGCTCCGGGATCCGGTGGCCGGATCTGCGCGGGTGGCCAGGGTGCTCGACGGCCGAGCATGCCCACGTGGTGCCCGCGCCCTCTCCAACTGCCTCCTCCCTCCCTTGCTCTGGCTCCGGTCGGGCATGGCCGCTTTGGCCGGGCTGCTGGCCGGTCTCGGCTGGATCCCGCATGGGGAATGAGAGGAGGCTGCTCCTGCGTGCGCGGCGACTGGATCTGGACGGTGCCTGGCACGGGCTCCGCCGTGCTGCGGTGATGGCGGCCAAATCCCCTTTGACGCTGACCAGCTGAGGCGCCTGCTACGGTGGCTCAGGTCGGCGGATTCGGGGTGCTGGAGACCGAATCCGGTGTCCCTGGGGCCAGATCCGGTGTCCTTGGGGCCGGCGGCTGTGCGGCATGGTGGAGTGGGCAGCATGGATCCCCTCTCGATCCGGCGGCTTGGGGCCGGATCCGGTGGCCTGCTGGCTGGATCCGGTGGTTCTTTGCGGGATACGGCGGGGAGCCCATGCGTCTTCCTCGGTGCTGGGGCTGCAGGCGCTTGGTGCTTGGCGCTCCCATTGCGGCATCCTGCGTCTTCCTCGGCGGTGCCAGTGATGTGGTTTGACCGAGATCCACGGAGGGCTGGGGAGCGGGCGTGACGACGGCAGTTCGGCGCGGAGGCTGCTGGAGGTGTTGCGCGGCGTGATTGTTGCGGGGCTGGCTCGGCAGGGGGTGGGGACGTTGGTGGGTTGGGCGACTGGGGCTTCTTCTGATCCCGGCCCTCTTCTCCCTGCCATCTGCCTTTCCCCTTCCCCGGGCTGGTTTTCATGGTGGAGCTGCCCGGTTCTGCCTGCTGCTGGCCGGCATTGCCGGTTGCGGTGGGGGGCGGACTCTCCGGCGGGTTTCCCCAACGCTTCTCCTGGTCGGCGTCCCTAGGGGCGTCATCTAGGCGCCGCACCCTACCTCCTGGTAGGGTTGGGCCTCTGGCGGCGACGGTGTGGAGGTGGTTTGAGGTGGGGGCGAAAGCGTGGACGAGGACATCTGCGGACGTCGTTCCCTTCTTGAAGACGTCATTTCCTACCTCTTCTCCTACCGTACTGGATGTTGCAGGTGAAAACCTTCCTTGGCGGGCTACCATGTCGGCGCGTTTAGCGTCGTTTCCTCTTTGGGGGCATGGCTAGGCATTCCAGTTTCGCGATTGATCCTTACTGTTTGGTGTCGCTCGGCAGGACATCGTCTTCTTCGGTCCTTGTTAGTTGATATTTGAGTTGTTTAGTTGGGTCGTTCTGACCAAGTTGAATGAAGTAGTGGTGTGAGTTGTGATAGTTGCTCAGTTGTTGTACCAAAGTTGCTAGGACGAGTGGTGCACTCTCCTGAGTTGTATGGTTTTTGGACCCAGTTTCCGCTCAAAAAACTAGGTGGGCATTTGTCTTTTTTTTTCTTTCATCGTCTAATAGAAATCGTGGCAAACCTTTTGCCGTCCTTTCAAAAAAACAACTGAAGTACCAATTTGCAATGTTTGACACATATATTTATCCTAAACAAGACTGAGTTATAATGTTATATTATTCAACGCCTCACTGACAATATGCAGAGATGAGGGACAATAATGCTGTATTTTGTGACATGTGAACATTTGGCGACAAACATCTTGGCTGGCACCACTTATCAATCAAAACATTCCCAATGGAGCATAGAAGTGAAAAGGTACTGTAAATATTTGAACTTACTCAACTAAACAAACTCGCTAGTTAGATTACAAGAGCCACATAGACAATAAAGTTTTGTAATAACATATTGATCGATACTGATGCGATCACAATTTGCTGGTCGGCACACCAACACCAGAGGTCCTAGCCTTCTTCTCGACAACCTTTGAGAGCTCCCTCACTTCCTCTTTGGGAATATGGCGAGGATGACTTAACCAAAGACCTCCATCAACCACCAGTGTAGTCCCATTTACATATTTGCCTGCAAACAAGATTACAAAATATGTCAAATGTCTGTTTCAGCTGAATTCTATGTGTTTCACGGCTCTATTGATTCCTTCAGATTACACCTAAAACAACAAAAACCACAATACATAGCTACCTAATTCTATTAGCTCTGTAGACAAGATCTTTGATATGACCTTCAGGCTTTGGGTAAGTAGTGCACAGTTCTTGTTGACATTCTGAGACTTATCATAATCTGGTTAGGAAACATGTAGAACAGCAGAACCAACCTGCATCAGAAGCAAGGTAGAGTGCAGCCATAGCTATGTCCCGCTTCTCCCCAAATTTGAATAATGGCATCATTTCTCGACGGCCCTTGCTCATTTCTTCAGGTGCAAGCTTCCTCAGTCCCGGGGTGTCTTGAATTGGTCCGGGTGCAATCCCGTTGACTCTAATGTCATAATCTGTTCCCCACTCCAGAGCCAGTGATCTTGTGATGCTATCAACCCCAGCCTATACAAACCAATCCATCAGAAAAAAAAAAATCTGCTTATTCCAGTTATTTTCTCTTATTATGGAGTGGTTCAGAGAAGAGAACCAGGTACCTTAGCAGCAGAGACATGAATTTGGTACCAAGTCGCAGTGTAATGCAGTGTTGCACTTATGTTAATGATTAGGCCACCAGTGGACGGACCTTTTCCTGGCCCACCCTTTTTCAGATACTTGAGGGCTTCATAGCACATTGTGTATGTACCCAAAGTGTCGATCTCAAGAACTGCAGAGACAAATTTGGTCAATACAAAAACCTCTCTGAAAAAGCATAAGGGTATTCACTTAATTTTGTTAGGTCTAGGTGCTTTTCTTCTAGTACTCAGATCGTTCCTGCTTTTCAAATATTCAGTCTCATTCGAAGCTTTAGACAAGGGTGTTTTTTAAATTTAACGTCAGTTAGTAGCTTGGGTGTCCCAGCATAGCAGGTCCTAAGCCCTGGTAAAGGAGGAGGGTTGTGTTAGGCGCGGCGAGCCAATGTAAAAACTTAGCCACTTTTATGAAGATGAAACTCAAAAGAATCCCGTTGGGGCGTAACCCTCTTAGCGACGCGTCATGTCGGAACCCGGGTATGGTGTTAAATGAGCAAGGGCTGGGTCGTCACCCTCGTGACGCGCCGTGTCGCGATCTGGACACGGTGTCAAGTGAGCAAGGATCGGGTTGTCGCATCCTTAGTGGCGTGCCACATCGGCGCCCGGGTGTGGTGCAAAATGAGCAAGGGTCTTCACACCTACATCGGCAGGTGCGAAGGGTAAGGAAGCTAGTCGAGCCAACTAGGATCCGTTTATGTAGCTGGAATGTAGGGCCCCTTACGGGTAAGTTAAGAGAGTTAGTGGACACAGCGGTTAGGAGACATGTAAATATCTTATGCGTCCAAGAGACTAAATGGAAGGGGCAGAAGGTGAAGGAGGTGGACAATACCAGCTTCAAGCTCTAGTACACAGGGATAACTTCAAATAAAAATAGAGTAGGAGTTTTGATTGATTAAAAGCCTCAGGGATGGTGTGGTGGAGGTGAGAAGGCAAAGGGATAGGATCATCTTAGTTAAACTTGTCATTAGTGATATGGTCTTAAATGTAATTAGTGCGTATGCCCCCAAGTAAGTCATGATGAGAGTGCTAAGCAGCTTTTCTGAGAAGACTTAGATCGCTTGGTTAGAGCTGTCTCTAGTATCAAGAAGCTCTTTATAGGAGGTGATCTTAATGGCCATGTAGGTACATCAAGTGCAGGTTTCGAGGTGGTTCATAGGGTTTCGGATGTGGTAGTATGAACCAGGAGGGAGAGAAAGTCTTAGACTTCGCCATATCTTTTGATCTGATGATAGCTAACATTTTTTCGTAAGAGACAGTCCCATTTAGTGACCTTTAGTAGCGGCCAGTACTTTAGTCAAATCGACTTTGTCCTTACAAGAAGGAGGGATAAACGAACATGCGTGGACTATAAGGTGATACATGGAGTATGTGTGGTCGCTCAACACAAGCTGGTGGTGGCTGACTTCCGCTTTCTGGTGCAAGCTCGTGGGAACAAACAAGCTAGGGTTGCTAGAACGAAGTGGTGGAAATTAGAAAGAGATGCATCAAAGGTCTTTAAGGAAAAGGTCATTGAAGAGGGCCCTTGGAAGGATAAAGGCGATGCAAACAACATTTGGGAGAAGATGGCAACATGCGTTCGGAAGGTTGCTTCAGAGGTGCTTGGAGTGACCAAAGAGAGCGGATGCGACTCGAAAGACACTTGGTGGTGGAATGAAGATGTGCAAAAGGTTATTAAGAAAAAGGAGTGCTATAAGCGCTTGTATCATGATAGGTGTGCAGACAACATAGAGAAGTACAAGGTGACAAAGAAGACTGCAAAACGAGCGGTGAGTGAGGCAAAGGGGCGGGCCTATGAGGACCTTTACCAACGTTTGAGTGCGAAGGAAGGAGACAAAGAACCTTTACCAACGTTTGAGTGCGAAGGAAGGAGAGAAGGACATTTATAGGATGGCTAAGGCTTGCGATAGGAAGACAAGGGACTTCAACCAAGTCAAGTGCATAAATGATGAGAGGGACCAGCTCTTGGTGAAGGAGGATGAGATCAGACATAGATGACAAGAGTATTTTGATAAATTGTTCAATGGTGAAAACGAGAACACCACCGTTCAGCTGGACGACTCGTTTGATGACAGTAACAGGCGCTTTGTGCGGAGGATTCAAGATTTGGAGGTCAGAGAAGCCTTGAAAAGGATGAAAGGGAGCAAAGCGATGAGCCCTGATGGTATCCCAATCAAGGTGTTGTGATGTCTCGGAGATATAGCTATAGTATGGCTAACCAAGATGTTCAACAATATCTTTCGATCGAATAAGATGCCTGAGAAGTGGAGAATAAGCATATTGGTATCAATCTATAAGAACAAAGGAGATATCTAAAGTTGTATTAATTATCGGAGAATTAAGTTGATGAACCACACTATAAAGTTATGGGAGAGAGTCATCGAGCAGCGCCTGCGAGGAACGACGCAGATATCAACAAACCAATTTGGTTTCATGCCCAGAAGGTCAACCACAGAAGCAATCTTCTTAATAAGACAAGTTATGGAGCGGTTTAGAGAGCAGAAGGACTTGCATATGGTTTTCATTGACTTGGAGAAGGCTTATGATAAGATACCAAGAAATGTTATGTGGTGGTCTTTGGACAAACATAAAGTCCCATCAAAGTACGTGACCCTTATCAAGGACATGTACAACAATGTTGTAACTAGTGTTCGAACAAACGATGGTAACACGGATTACTTCCCGATTAAAATTGGACTTCATCAAGGGTCAGCCTTAAGCCCGTATCGCTTTGCCTTGGTAATGGATGAGGTTACCAGGAACATGCAAAGGGATATCCCTTGGTGTATGTTGTTCGCTGATGATGTAGTGTTAGTGGACGAAAGCCAGGCGGGAGTAAATAAGAAACTAGAGTTATGGCGACAGACCCTTGAGTCTAAAGGTTTTAGATTGAGCAGAACTAAAACCGAATACATGAGATGTGACTTCGGCGAAGCTGCACAGGAGGAGGGAGATGTGAGTTTGGAAGGTCAAGTAGTGCCTAAGAAGGATATCTTTCGGTATCTGGAATCGATGCTACAGAGGGATGGAGATATTAATGCGGATGTTAGCCATAGAATCAAAGTAGGGTGGATCAAGTGGCGACAAAATTCTGGCATTCTCTGTAACAAGAGGGTACCACAAAAGCTAAAAGGCAAGTTTTATAGAACGGTGAGTAGACCGGCTATGTTGTATGGAGCAGAATGTTGGCCTACAAAGATTCGACATGTTCAACAACTGAATGTTGTAGATATGCGTATGTTGCGATGGATTTGTGGTCACACAAGAATGGACCAAGTTTGGAACGATGATATACGTGATCGCTTAGAGGTAGCACCAATTGAAGAAAAGCTTGTCCAACATCGGTTGAGGTGGTTTGACCATGTCCAAAGGAGACCTCCAGAGGCACCAGTGCATTGTGGAGTCATAAACCAAGCTAATAATATGAGGAGAGGTAGAGGAAGACCGAAATTGACATGGGAGAGGCAATAAAAAGATATTTGAAAGCTTGGGATATACCTAGAGATCTATGTTTGAATAGGAGTGCTTGGAAAATAGCTATTGAAGTGCCTGAACCGTGACTTGAGGCTCTTGATAGATTTCAACTCTAACCAAACTTAACTTACTTTGGACTAAAAGGCTATGTTGTTGTTGTCGTGTAGTAGCAGCTTGGCTAATAAGCCAATTAAAACAAACAAGTTTTTGATCTAGCATAGGCATGGAGTTACTGATCGAGCCAGGCAAGCACAATTGCCCAAACCAAAGACTTGGCGTATCGCTGACAATTGGGAACAATTGTAACAAAGAGCTCCATTGAATCTGAATACAAACAAGAACACAATTTGATGAAGTACCAGTCCGGAATCCCTTGGGCGTCAAATCCTCCGGGGAAGCAAGGAAGTTTCCAGCTGCACCGTTGACAAGAATGTCAAGCTTGCCAAAATGCACTACTGTCGCAGCGAGCACTCTGGCCGCGTCCTCCTGCTTGCGGACATCTCCATCGAAACCAACAGCCTGCGGGTCACACCGATCTTTGGATCATTAAAGGGTAACGCTTGTTTTATATCTTTATCCCAAAGAAAAAAGAACTATGATTCAAGTTAAGCACACTAAGTTCACTGCAGGGAGCTAGCATACAGATACGGGTTTTATTTCACAGGTTTGGCACAGGCACATTCAGTTCTGAAAACATCTAAGCTGTTTGATTTTGATGCACTGTATTCATCAATTAACTAATTCTAGAGAATAGCAATCCGACCAACATTCCTTACCACACGACAAGCAACATGCACGGCTAGCAAATCAACTTCATAACTGCTAGTAACGTTAGTTAAGGTAGTATAAGCAGAGAGCAAAAGATCGTTTTTCCCCCAACTAAATAACGAACAGAAAGCATAAATGGAAGGCCGGCAAAAGCAAGCCAGGAGCCCAAGCCGCGGCGTAGGGAGTCGATGGGGGGACGCACCTGGAGGCCCTGGGAGCGGAGCGCGGCGACGGCCTTGTCGAGGACCTCCCGGCGGCGGCCCATGATGGCGACCTGCGCTCCGTGGCGCGCGAGCTGGGCGGCGACCTCAAAACAGATGCCGGATCCCCCGCCTGTGACCAGCGCCGCCTTGCCCTTGACCACGTCCGCCCGGAACGGGGACTCCATAGCTTGCTCAAATCTCGCGCGCGCCGGCGACGGCCTTGCGGTTCCGGAGGCCTCGGGGGGCGCAGATGGGGAAGCACCGAACGAGTACTTGACAGTTGGCTGGATGTTATTGGGTGATGGTTTGTTTGGGATTGGGAGGAGGACGGCGGAAGCTGAAGTTTCGCGTTGGCTGCTATAGCTGCCGGCGCCGGGCTCTGCGCATCTTGTTTATAATACTCCACAGTCCACACAACCACACCGCGGCGGCGTTGATCTTCTCCTTCGTGTTTTCCAAGCCGGCACGGCACAGGATAGGCGCTAAGCACGGAGGAAAATTCGAGGGAGAAGATCGCTAAGATCAGTCAGTCAGAGAAGGAAACCGCGTCACTTTCGCCCTCCTGCTCGGTTGGTCTTCACCGGGGCCGATTGGTTCTGCTCTCCTTCGGTCCTCATCAGACAGTTCTTTACTTCTTTTATGCCCTGTCACTGCCAGCATTAGTTTTTTTTTTTGTGTGTGTGGTTTGTCATGGAGATTTCCATCCACACCTGGCGAGGACTCCAGTTGTTACGCGTTTTGCTGCACAATCCCGCAAAAATTCTCCTGAACTCAACATGCATTGACATGAGATCTGCTCGCTATGCAACATTCCTCACCAACAACCTGAACAAGCGAGAACGGTGGAAGTTGCAGTTGCAGTTTGTCCACAACACATCATGTGGAATGTGTTGGTTACAAACACCTTCTGGTTGGGATTGCATATCAAACTATCTCTAATGCGATTTGGAAGACGGCAACAATATTAATTGCTCAACTAGGTTCAAAAAATTGCTCAACTAAACAGACAGTGCTCAGCCGGTTACATAAAGCCATTTACATAGACTGACATAGCCAGATTGACAGCAAAGGAGATTGAATCAAAAGTAAATTAGAGTGATATGAGAATTACGCCAGTCAGCCTTCAAATCATTCTCAACACAGAGTCCAAAATCCTAATATAATTGTAGAATAGTGCAGTATGTTCAGCCTCCAAGCCACCTCGGTGGTGACGGTTGCTCAGATCCTCTCAGATGTTTGTGTGTGCAAATCATTGGTCTCAATTAGCATGCCTGTGTCTGCGTATAATCCCAGCAGCACTTCAAAAGAGTCCTATTCACTTCAGATTTCTCACCTGAAATCACCATGTTCTTGGGTATTTCAACCTTGTGGAGAGCCACCTCCATTACTCCAATACCAGAGAACATTGACAGAACATACAGTGAGATGTATGTACTGGAGTCCACTTGGATAGAAATATATCTCTATCCTACTAATTCCTCTAATATAATCATTCGGACAGACAAATAAAATCCCATCTCGTCAATCTCTAGAGGAGCAACCTTGTTGAAACCAACCTAAGCAATATTCCATTCTCTACACTCCAAACACATGCTTCTGAACTCTTGTATTGTAAGGGTTAGTGAAATCCTCTATAACAATTTCGCACAAGCTCCACAAGTTTGGAGGCATTTATGAAGTATTTGATTTGGGGAATGAATCATGAACTCATTCCTCAAATTTAGAAGAATGAAATCATTCCTCATACTAGTACTAATAATTAGCTTGTGAGGAATGAGGTTGTGATGGATCAACTCATTCTATTACATATAAACCGAACAAAAAAGTAAAGAGTAAGATGATGATGTACTACTTCACTCCCCAAACCAAACATCCCATTAATCTCCTTAGGTCCCATGAGAGCCACCATCACTTGGTACGAGGGAAAGCCTTAGCCCACAAGGGAGGAGAGGTTAGCCCACAAGGGAGGAGAGGTCTCAAGTGGCATAGCGGCATGCTATGTATGTAACGTCTTTTTCTCGTGGGAGCACAGAAGAGCTTTGAGTCCAAAAATTCTGGTTAAATACCATACAAAAAATCTTGATATAGCTGTCACGACACCTTTTGGAACAAAGTGCCACATTCTCATAGCAGAAGTACGATGGCCCAATAGCTTGTGCAGGTAGCCATCTGTCCACTGGTCTTGACCATTGGTTTCGCAGGTTAAATCTAACCATTGACAGTGCTCATCATTACTACCATGGTCCATGTAGACATGTAGTGCCGTAGTGGATCTCTACTTGTGCTTGACCTCCGAATATCTTTCGCTCAAATCTTGTGTAGACATGTAGCTGTTACATGTTTTGTTAGTACACGTACAATTTCACCCATTTCCCTTAATTTTAGGGTAGTTACAACTCCGGACAGCCAATTTGCCATGTTCTAGCATGTGAATATTTGGCAATAAGCACCTCTTGGTTGGGATCCCATACCGATCTCAACCATTTCTAATGCAAATTGGGAGACAACAGTAAATATTCTCTGCTCAGCCGGCTAACAAGCCATGTGCATGGACTGGTGACATAGCCAAACTGACAACAATACTTGGACAACAATATGGACATATATGATACAGAACACACCGAAGAGCTACATAGTCAGATATGCCATCACAATTTGCTGGATGGCACCCCAACACCAGAGGCCCTAACCTTCTTCTCGACAACTTTAGAGAGTGCCTTCACTTCCTCCTTGAGAATATGGTGAGGCCGACTCAACCAAAGGCCTCCGTCAACAATAATTATAGCCCCATTTACATATTTTCCTGAAAATCAGATTGTACCACACATCAACTGTCTGGAAATCATCAACTAAAGAAAAATGGCTAGGTTTTCAGGTGAGGCTATTTTCTTTTTCTTCATCGACATGAGGCTAAAACTTATTACAGATCAACCACGGTGGTTACATTGACTACTTAAAAGGCATGCATGAATATAAAACAGAACGATTGTTAGTCCAATAAGTATGGGCACAACGTCTTCTGGCTAACTTTCAGATAAGCGGATGCTCAGTATTAATTGAAATTCTCTGTATAATGCTTTCTGATAATCTGGATAGAAAACAGGGAAGAACACAGCCAAGCAGCTAACCTGCATCAGAAGCTAGATAGAGTGCGGCCATTGCTATGTCCCATTTCTCCCCAAGCTTAAATAATGGCATCGTTTTCTCGTTTCTCCTTGCTCATTTCTTCAGGCGCAAGTTTCCTCATTCCTGGAGTGTCTTGAATTGGTCCAGGTGCAATTCCATTTACTCTAATGTCATAATCTGTTCCCCATTCCAGAGCCAATGATCTTGTGATACTATCAACACCTGCCTATACAAGCCGGTCAACCAGGAGGAGTCTACATACTTCATCGATTTTCTCTTGCAGAGCGGTTCAGAGAAGGTCCAAGTACCTTGGCAGCAGAGACATGAATTTGGTACCAGGCTGCCGTGTATTGCAGCGTAGCGCTTATGTTAATGATAAGGCCACTAGAGGAAGGAACTCTCCCTGGTCCACCCTTTTTGAGATACTTGAGGGCTTCATAACACATTGTGTATGTACCCACAGTGTCAATGTCAAGAACTGCAGAGAGAAAATATTGTCAGTGCGAACTTCTCTGAAACATAGTATTAAGGGCCGTAGTACAATAAACAAAAGTTAATAGAACTTTAGTTCTTTAGGTAACAGCCTAGCACAACTACACAAACTGAGGCAGTGTAATAATGACAACAGTGTACACAGAATTGGAATGAAGAATAACACTGAATCAAAACAAGGGCACGTCATGATGGAGTACCAGTTCGGAATCCCTTGGGCTTCAAATCCTCCGGGGAGGCAAGGAAGTTGCCAGCAGCACCATTGACAAGAATGTCCAGCTTGCCAAAATGCTCAACCGTTGCTGCGATCACTCTGGCAGCATCCTCTTGCTTGCGGACATCTCCATCGAAACCAACAGCCTGCAAGTCACAGCAATCTTCGGTTGCTGAACTGTTTACTAACCCGAACCATGGTATGGAGCATAATGAATTTCATTTGATAAGTAGAGGCATTGGCAATATTAAATTCCAAAGGTACAAGTATAAAGTGCTCGACTGCCTGCAGCCCTGCACAGATGCATTCCTACATTAGAACCACTTCCCAGACTAAAAGCTGATGCATTGGATTCGGTGAGATGTGACTTCGGCACTACTATTCGGGAGGAGGAAGATATTAGTTTGGAAGGTCAAGTAGTGCCTAGGAAGGATACATTTCGATATTTAAGATCAATGCTACAGAGAGACGGGGATATTGATGAAGATGTTAGCCATAGAATCAAAGCAGGGTGGATGAAGTGACGCCAAGCATCTGGTGTCCTATGTGACAAAAAGGTACCACAGAAGCTAAAAGGCAAGTTTTATAGGACGGCGATTAGACCTGCTATGTTGTATGGTGCAGAATATTGGCCTACGAAAAGACGACATGTTCAACAGATAAGTGTCGCGGAAATGCATATGTTGCGTTGGATTTGCGGCCATACAAGAAGGGATCGAGTTTGGAACGATGATATACGTGATAGATTAGGGGTAGCACCAATTGAAGAAAAGCTTGTCCAGCACCGGTTGAGATGGTTTGGACATGTCCAACGGAGACCTCCAGAGGCACCGGTGCGTAGTGGAATCCTAAGCCAGGATAGTAACGTGAAGAGAGGCAGAGGAAGACCGAAGTTGACTTGGGTAGAGACAATAAAAGGAGACTTGAAAGAATGGAATATACCCAAAGACTTAGCCTTAGATAGGAGTGCTTGGAAAACAGCTATTCACGTGCTTGAACCTTAATTGCTTCTACTGGGTTTCAACTCTAGTCTACCCCAACTTGTTTGGGACTTAAAGGCTTTGTTGTTGTTGTTGTTGTTGTTGTTGTTGTATTGGATTCGGTGAGCCAAGACACATTCAGCGAATGTTTCTTCCTCACAGTATTACTCAGGCAGTAACAAATTCCTTTTTTTTTGCGCCAATATGAATTTGTATTGATCACCAAAGGAGATCTAAATTAGTGACATGAAAATTACACCAGTCAACCTTTAAATCATTCACAAGTTCGATCACACAAAAAGATGCTAGAATTCTAGAACTAAGACAACAAAGATTGTAAAGACTGCAGATCCTCCATGATAGACTTCTCACAGAGTTAAAGATCCTAAATTAACAGTACAATAGTGCAGAATGTTCGCCCTCCAAGCTATCTCGGTAGTGATGGTTGCTCCTAGCAAGGTGGTTGCATGTACTGCCCCCAATCACCAGATCAAAACTTCCCATCCTCCTAATATACATGTCGATCCTCATGTCGGTATTTGCGTCTCGTGAGATCTATTAGTGTGCCTATCTACGTCTAATCCCATCAACTCTTCAGAATAGTCCTGTTCACTTTAGATTTCTCAACTGAAAAACGTCATGTTCATGCATGCCCCAAGCTTGTGAAGAGCACATCTGCTTCTCCAGTATCAGAGAACAAGGGCACCAGATTCATGCCATTTAAAAACATTGCCTTGACTACTGAAATACAGTATGAAACAATGTCCACTTGGAAAGAATTGCCTAGAGACCTATATTTCTTTATCGTACTAATTCCTCTAATATGATCCTTTGAAAAAAAAACAAATAAAATTGTCATCTTATCAAGCTCCATACGAGCAACCTTGTTCAAACCAACCCAAGCAAGAGTCTATTTTCTACACTCCTCTAGCACACAACTCTCAGGGGAGGTGGAAAGGGCTAAGCGAATCCACACTAACAATTTCACATTAGCCACACAAGTTTGAAGGCAATTAAACTGTTGCCTTGGGTCCCATTAGGGCCAGTGGGACACCACTTCTTGGTACAAGGGAGGAGGAGAAGTGACCTAATCTCAAGTGGCGTGTTATGTATGTACTTTTTTTTTTCTGGCAACTAAATAAAAGTATAATACAGCAACTCAACCAATAACTAACTAGTATAGTTCTCGCACAGGACATTGCACGACTAACCGATTCTCCTCTTACTACTGAAACTACTTGACACTTTGTCAGCAGAAAAGCAAAATAACTCCCATCCCCCACTCCCAACCCCAAACCGACGTTGAGAGCCCAGGAACACAAGGACCAGGACGGCAGTGGTAGGCAGAGCGCCAGAGCGGGAGGGAGTCTACGGGGATTACGTGCGTGCGTACCGTGAGGCCCTCGGAGCGGAGCGCGGCGACGGCCTTGTCGAGGACCTCGCGGCGGCGAACCATGAGCGCGACGTGCGCGCCGTGGCGCGCGAGCTGCGCGGCGATCTCGAAGCCGATGCCGGAGCCCCCGCCCGTGACCAGCGCGGCCTTGCCCCTCAGCAGGTCCGCGCGGAACGGCGACTCCATTGCCTGCCTTCCGCCCAGGTCGCGCTCCGGAGACCTTGGACCTTGGTCCTTGGTGGTGGGGGGGACGGGCGCAGCGCAGCTGGGGAAGAAGATGGCAGTTGGCACTGTGGTTGATAGATTGCGTGGCCTTGTCTTTGACACGAGGAAAGAAAGCCTACAAGTGGAGCAAATTGTTTTCGAGGAAAACGTGGAGTAAATAATTTGGTTTTTTTTTCTGCGGGGAACGTGGAGTATGCATGTGGTCTCCTGTCAAATTACAGTTCACTTTGACTGTAACTGAAGTGAAACTTTTATTGAGATTTTAGGAGAAATGGAAAATGTATTGACCATAATGACATGTATTAGTTTAAATAAAAGCTCCGTTGAAACATATTTTATGGAAAAATTAAATCAACTAGACATTGTAGATCAAGACGATTCAGGAAGCAGATCAAGACGGAGAGAATCAGCACGTTCGGCCGGTGGATTGAACAGTGAATTTTGGATAGTTCTGAATGATTCAATAGTGTTCTGTGAAGGAAAATAAACTAAAACAAGCTGGGACATGACCAGCCGAACGAGGTAATGATCACGAGACTCCCCAGTGAAGACATGGAGGGCAATGTGTGTTTGTGTTGCTGTTATATGTCTTGTTTGTTTTCCAGGTTCTGCTTCTCCATGTAATCAAAGTTAGTTGGCGGTCCAGCGATCTTTTTTTTTTTTTTTTTTTGCTTTTCTGGACAATCTAAGCTGCTGTATTTCCGTTACTATGGTAATGGAAACGGGGATGTCCTCGCTTTGGGAGAGAGAAAAAAACTGGACATTGTAGATGCCGACGTATTTTTTCTATAAATTTCATCAAAGTTAAAGAAAATTGAATGAGAGCAAAGTTAAAATAAATTACAATTTACAGCAGACGGAATATTTGATAAGCCCCGGAGGGCCGGAGACGTAATGAAGCGTGTTTTGTAGCTTGGCACGTTTATTAAGCGAGTGATCATCACGCCCTGATGATATAACGCAGGCCCAGTCAGTAGGTAGGGGGTCCGGTACGATTGTAATGATGGGATTTCTAACCCAATTCAAGTAGCGGGCAGAAACCGGCCCAGCTAGCCCTGTATCGTTTTATATAGAATTAGAAAAAGTTAAGTTACCTCCTCAACTTTCGTGAAAGCTCGTTTTTCTTCACTAAACTCCAAAACCGGGTGTCCATGTTTCGGACCGGGGGTCCTCAACCAACTAGTAAATTTGTACTGTGTGCCCCTAATCCTGGATAGTGATGCAAAGAGACACAAGGTTTATACTGGTTCAGGCAATTAGAGCCCTACGTCCAGTCTGAGAGATCGGTCTTGTATTTCTTGCACCAAAGTGCTTGTAGTAGGGGGTTCCAAGCTGGGTGAGAGAGGGAGCTAGTCCCAGGTCTCAGCGTGGAACGGTGCGAGGTGCTTAAGACGCTGCTCTCAAGCAGCTTGGGAACGTTGATGTTACGGGATGTGTCTAGGGCGCATATGGGAGCGCGGTTCTATCGTATGTTCTTCCTTTTTTCTCCCCCCCTCGAGCTATCCCTGGCCGCTTCCTTTTATAACCGCAAGGAAGGAACCAGGAGTACATGACTGAGCTACACGTGGAGCCTACTATAGTTTTGTCCTGTAGCAGCATGGCGTTGGGAATGGAGATCGGTACTTGTCTGGCGCGCCGTGCTAGTCAGGTTTGAAGTGGTTGAGGTCGTGGGGGTCCTTGTCGATGTCTAGTCAATATGACTTTCCACGGGCGGAGACATGCCATGGTTTGGTGGATTTTTGACTTGGTGGAGTGCCGAGGCCTAGCAGGTTGTAGCTAGCCGCGTCGAGGCCTGATTTGCCGAGGCCCTGGCGGGTGTTTGTAGCTGACCGCGCCGAGGCTTGATTTGCCGAGGCCCTGGAGGGAGCAGTTGGGCCTATGCACTGATTCCGAGGCTATAGTGACCCGGTTTAGGTGAAAAAGTGCAGGGCATGGTAAAAAGGAGATTTGACCGTTGTCCCATCGCTCTGTTCTTGTACTCGCCAATCGTGGTACGACGTAGGTGTAACGTGGGTACTTACACGGATGGGACGGACCGCCGAGGGGCGATTGAGGCGGAGATGATGAGGATGCGGACGAGCTCGGCCTCGGCCGAGGCGGAGAAGGAACAAGACGTCCGAGAGGCCCCGCCGGGGTCTTGACGAGGCGAGAACGAAGCAGCAGTTGGGCTCTCCCTGCATTTCCGAGACTCTGAGGACATGGATTTGACCTTCCATGCTGCTTTGTCCTTGGCGCGAGGGGTTAGGTAGCACAGAGGCACGGGTGTCGATGGGGAGCATGATGATGAGCACAGTGGTAGGTAACCCATCGCGCCCGGCCCCCTATCCCGTCGGGCCGCTCGCCGCACTGCATCATGCCGCGTCCGACGCGTTTATGGGAGTGGTTGGACGCATTAATCCGGATGTGACGTTTTGTCAGAGGAGTTCGGTCGGGACAGAGGTTACGAGTTTGTTTGCCGAGCTCGGCCTCGAGCGAATCGGAGAATTGGCATCCCGTCCGAGGCCTTTCGGGAAGGGCCTCGGCGAGAGGGCCTCGGCGAAGGCGGGCGCTGTTGGCCTTTTCGCGATGAGGCCTCGGACGCAAGGGCCTCGGGCGAATCGGAGAATCTGTTGAGACCTTGCGGTAGTCTTTCGGTTTTGATTTTTGCAAGGTTTAAGCAATATTTTTGGTTCTTGCTTAGGGTACCCCTTCTTGTGGTATCCGACAGTAGCCCCCGAGCCTCGGGAGGAGTGTGGGCACTATCCTGAGGTTTTGTCAAGACTTGGCTCACAACAGCTCCTGTTTGGGATTGTGTTTTGTACTTGATGGTTCCAGTGGGAGTGTGGCGTACCCAGCAGTGTAGCCCTTCGAGGCCCCGGAGGAGTGGGTTTACTCCTCCAGGGGCCTTTTTTCTCCGTTTGAGCCAAGAGTTTTATCGTGTTCATTTGGGCCCATGAGTGTGAGTTGGTCATTTTGGGACTTAGCCTCTGCAGAAGAACCCCGAGCCTCCTTGACGGAGCGAGAGAGGGCGATCAGCGATTCCCTGTCTTCTTTGACGACCCTCGCGCATCCTTTTTCGCTCGGAAGGAGGGGTTCGTTTGCCAAGCCCCCTCGGGTGCGAGCCTAGGTTGCTGGGTCTCGGCAAGGTTTGCAGAGAGAGCCCCCGAGTCTCCGCACGGAGGGAGAGGGCAGTCAGGAGTTCCCCTGGCTTTTTATGTGACCCTCGCGCATCGTTTTTGCTCAGAAGGAGGGGTGGAATATGCCAGGCTACCCTCGGTGGGCGCGAGCGGTGACACTTCCGGTGAGCTGCTATCGGGTAAGTCCGAGTGGAGGCCCGTGCCCCATTCGATAGGGGCCGGCTAGTGGTCCAAAGACGCACCCCAAAAGTACCAGAGGGCTTCTCTATTGGGTCCCAGGGCCGTTCGCTTGGCCCTAGGGGCTCGGCGCCTCCCTACGGTGGGATCCCATTCGGAGAACTCCCTGCTGGTCTCGGACATGACTTAGGGCATCCCGAGCGATCGCTTGCCCGAGCCTCGGCCATGTACGGGCTCGCCCATAGTTGTCCCTGACTCTGTTGTCCTGGGGCGGCTGTCGAAACCATCGGGGGTCCAGCCTTCGAACCCCTGGACCGTAACAGGCTCGGCGCCCTTTTGTCAATTTTTCCGAATCTATGAGTGCGAGCTTGGGTGGCTTGCTTTCGTCTTGGGTGCAGGAAGAACCCCCGAGCCTCCGCACAGAGCGAGAGGGCGGTCAGGAGTTCCCCTGACTTTTTATGCGACCCTCGCGCATCCTTTTCGCTCAGAAGGAGGGGGTTGTTTGCCGAGCCCCCTCGAGTGCGAGCCTAGGTCACTGGGTCTCGACAAGGTTTGCAGAGAGAGCCCCCGAACCTCCGCACGGAGCGAGAGGGCGGTCAGGAGTTCCCCTGGCTTTTTATGCGACCCTCGCGCATCCTTTTCGCTCGGGAGGAGGGGGTTGTTTGCCGAGCCCCCTCGAGTGCGAGCCTAGGTTGCTGGGTCTCGGCAAGGTTTGCAGGGAGAGCCCTCGAGCCTCTGCACGGAGCGGGAGGGCGGTCAGGAGTTCCCCTGGCTTTTTATGCGACCCTCGCGCATCCTTTTTGCTCGGAAGGAGGGGGTTGTTTGCCGAGCCCCCTCGAGTGCGAGCCTAGGTTGCTGGGTCTCGGCAAGGTTTGTAGGGAGAGCCCCCGAGCCTCTGCACAGAGCAGGAGGGCGATCAGGAGTTCCTCTAGCTTTTTATGCGACCCTCGCGCATCCTTTTCGCTCGGAAGGAGGGGGTTGTTTGCCGAGCCCCCTCGGGTGCGAACCTAGGTCGCTGGGTCTTGGCAAGGTTTGCAGGGAGAGCCCCTAAGCCTCTGCACGGAGCGGGAGGGCGGTCAGGAGTTCCCCTGGCTTTTTATGCGACCCTCACGCATCCTTTTTGCTCGGAAGGAGGGGTGGAATGTGCTAGGCTACCCTCGGTGGGCACGAGCGGTGACACTTCCAGTGAGCTGCTATCGGGTAAGTCCGAGTGGAGGCCTGTACCCCATTCGATAGGGGTCGGCTAGTGGTCCGGAGACGCACTCCAAAAGTACCATAGGGCTTCTCTATTGGGTCCCAGGGCCGTTCGATTGGCCCCGGGGGCTCGGCGCCTCCCTACGGTGGGACCCCATTCGAAGAGCTCCCTGCTGGTCTCGAACACGACTTAGGGCATCCTGAGCGATCGCTTTCTCGGGCCTCGGCCATGTACAGGCTCGCCCATAGTTGCCCCTGACTCTGTTGTCCTGGGGCGGCTGTCGAAACCCTCGGGGGTCCAGCCTTCGAACCCCTAGATCGTAACGGGCTTGGTGCCCAGTTCCTTAGTCTGGAAGGAATCGGCTGGGGGAATATTCCCCTCCCATCGGCTGACAATGGCAGGCGTGCTTTTTAAGGCGGTCTCTCGGGGGCTGCCGTTGCTGTGGTTGGAAGTGACATGGTGTCAGCGGACAG